AAAATCAGTATGAACCATAGCAAGAAAGCCTGGACAGCCATTAAAAGGCTCATCTTCGAAAAAGGATGCCAGACCTGAATTGCAGCCCTTATCCCCAACCACATAGCACATCAGCCGCTATTAAATGTTAATGGGGCAATTAAAGGAAATGAAATTGGATATGAGCCATGTCATGCAAGAAAAGATGATCACAGAGATGGAATCATACTCTGGAGAAAAAGCTAAAGCAGGGCTATTGTTTCTGTTTAACAAAATCAAAATCCCAAAATTATGGAAAAAACCTAAAGTGGTGGCTCTCTTAAAACCTGGAAAAGATCCAACATCCCCAAGAAGTTAAAGGTCAATTTCCCTGTTATGCATTCTCTACAAGCTATATAAACGTATGATCATAGCACATATTCATGGCACAGTAGATGAACATCTGACAGCTGACCAAGCTGGCTTTAAACCAGGCTGGTCATGCTGGGATCAAATAATGGATTTGACACAATACACTGAAGACATTTGTGAGACAAAGCAAATGACAGGTGCTATTTTTGTTAAACTAATGGCTGCCCATGATATAGTGAACCATAAGGCATTGCTCTTATAAGTAGCCCAAATGGTGCAGAATTACAGCTTAGTCCATATAATTGAGTCTTTACTCATCAATTGACAATTTTATGTGGATATTGAATTCAAGAAAAGCAGATGGCACATACAAAACAACGGACTCCTACAGGGCTCTGTCTTGGCTCCAATTTTGTTTAATATCCATACAAACAGTCAGTCACTACCACAACATCCATAGGTACATAGATGCAAACAACCTGTGAACTGCCACCCAATCCAACAGTTTTGCCACCATTGAAGAAAGATTATTAAATGCATTAACTATCCTTTCCAAATGTTATAACCCCAAGCAAGACCCAGGTTTGTGCATTCCACCTAAAGCTAATAGAAAGCTTAGAATAAGATGAAATAACAATGAGCATGTCAACAACCTGAAAGGAAAACTTATATCATGAAACAATATCTTAAGCAAACTTGCTTTCACTAAATGAGGAGCTGGCCCTAAAACCCTGAGATAGACAGCACTGGCACTGTGCTAGTCCTGTGTGGGAAAGGTTGTGCCATGGTCACAAAGTTGACACAAAGCTAAATAAGTCTTGTTGGATTATAACTGGCACTTTAAAATCAACACCCATGTCAGCTCTCTATAGACTAGCCAGTATTCCACCACCACATACACAATGTGAAACCATCACAAAAACTGAGTGATACAAACAGCTGAATGATCCCACTATATGGAAATCAAGAAGTGAAGAAAGCCCTGAAGTCCTGCAAAAGCTTCATGGCCATAGAGGCACTGGGTCAAACCAGAGCTGCCTGTTACAGACTGGCATGTTGGCAGGGGTGTGGAAGCAGGCAACACACTGAAGCTTTTCTAAGCTTAGATGAGACCCTACTTCTAGGTTTTAACCTAAGCAGGAAAGATTGGGTGATATTAAACAGAGCAAGGACAAAAGTAGGAAAATTCAAAGACAACCTTCATAAATGGGGACTCAACACAATCCTGACTGGCCATGTGGAGAAATCCAAACAATGAACCACATTCTCCAGGAATGTCAAATGGGTCCCCAATGCTCCAACTAAGATCTTAAGGCAGCAGTGGATACAATCTTGGCATGATGAGATATGGTGATGATGATCCTGTGATAGGCAGTTCAAGGAACCTATTATGGTCTTACAGCAATAGCCAGGGCTGACAGTATAGGAGAAAGGGTACTGGGCTGTGTATCATGACAAGGTATGCACTGTTACTTCTACTGCCCCTATACTTTGTCACTCATTGATAACCTTTAAAACTTTAACTCACTCTCCATACCCTTTTTCCACTTCACTTGTCCTTTTGAACAATTGAACACGAGGAAAAGGTGAACTCAAGAATATTTCAGATTCCATGTACATGTACAAATATTTACACTACTATATTTATTTCTGTTTATCACAGTGATATAGAATTAAAGGAACCGTCTCCATTTATTTGGAACCGGGATTTTCAGTCCTTAGAGAAAGTGTGCCAAATGACATTTTGTGTCCAAAGTGCCACCGGGTAGCACCATTGTCTTGATAAAAATCATTGTTGGCAACTGCCCCACCCCTTTGACACTATTGCTTGCAAATATTAATAGGTCTGTATTTTTTCTATTATTCTGTCATTCTTGCTTATTTGTGCACTATCATAATTATAGAACACTTTCCAATGAAAATACTGAGAAACTGCTTATCATCATATCCTGCCCATAGACAAGAGTGAAAATGTTATAATTCACTTAAGTAAAGCAAAATTCCATGTTTTTTATTCATGACAGAATTGTCCCATACTGTAAAAGCCATTAGAATATTATAATAAAGAAAAGAGAAAAATAAAGAAGAAAAAAAATAGGTTCAACAGGCTGAGTGGAAGTGGTACTATCCCTTAAAATACCTTGGTGTGCCCTTGATATAGACATCATTTCCAAGCCTGCTTCATGTTAAAGAATGCATTTAGAAGATTGCTCCATCAGGACCTGATAGCCTAGTTGTTCTGTTCTATCCTATTTCACAATAATGTGCAGTCATGGTAACTCCCCAAGCTGTTAAACATCCTCGTGGAATCCCCCACCTTTTCAATTACCAGCCTGTTCTTCTTCCTCAGACCATCCATTTGACTTAATCACCCTTTGTTCTTAACTTTTCCCCTTCCATCAATCCCTATCCTACCCCTTTTACTCACCCTCTTACTATTACTTTCACTACCAAACCATCTTATAATGCCATATGACCATTGAAACCTAAGACATTTTGTTTTAATAAAGAACTTCCTTAAACCCCTATCACGACAATACTTTATCATAGTACTATATGACCTTTGATGTTTACCACACTTATTTAAAACATCAAACACTGAGATGGTCATTAACTAGGCATCTGTCTGGTTTGGGTTTCAGAAAGACTAACAAGGACAAATTATTCTGGGCATAACATGCCAATTTCTCAAATCTAAAGTGTGCACTTACATCCATAATGACATTAGTGATACATGTTCCATATCAACCTGTGTGAATCATTCAGCAGCAGCAGCAGCAGCAGCAGCAGCAGCAAAAAAAAAAAAAAAAAAAAAAAAAAAAAAAAAAAAAAAAAAAAAAAAAAAAAAAAAAAAAAAAAAAATAATAATAATAATAATAATAATAATAATAAATTAATAATAATAATAATAATAATAATAATAATAATAATAATCATGGTGTGAAGAAATTCCTAAGTTGCAATTGAAATTACAGCAGTTATCAATTCTTCCAAAATATCATACTATATATTGAAGTATTATTTATCCTGATTAAAAAAAAAAATGACAACAAAATAATGAAAATATTGATAATGTAGTTTGTCAACAGACTAGTACTGTAAAAAGCAAAGTACTACTGGACACTTTTAGTCCCCTTAAAAATTTTCACTTCTTTATAACATTGCCAGTACATGATTAGTACTTATCCCCTGGTTAAATATATACACTTCTTCAAAGGAGACAGATGGGTTGAAATGTGTCATAAATGCAGGGGTGACTGCTATGTAATTTTCTCTTATTTTATCTCAGTTCAGTGAGGTTTACACAGACAAGCTTGTTCCTGGCCTCAACATATACAGAGCTTACCAATTTAGACCTTCCTTACTTTGAATGAGTTTAACTACTTTACCAGCCCAACAGTATTAGTCAATCTGTCCCAGTCTTAGGGCAGCTATTCCTAAGGTAGGGCAAAAGTGAAATTTGATTTTTGCAATACTCACTTAAACCTGTCTCACCTTTAATCTGGTACATAATATACCACACACAAAAGTAGCCTTGTCTAACCCTTTAAATATCTCCACTTACTATCTTAACAGGTCTCAACAGGATGTTCCATGTTTTTCTACCAGAATTTATAAACCTATCATCTAACTCATGCCTGGAGATGCCAATAAGGCTAGGAACCAAGTTAATTATTACACACCTTTCCATACTATGGTTTGTCTACCTTATGAGGATGAGAGGATTGGTGCAAGCTGCCAGTGACTGTCATGAAGTCCATGTATGTATGCTTTATGATGGTAATGGATCAATAATATTCTGTGAGATTGGGAGTGCAAGATAATCTCAAGGAGGCACTTTATAAGTCCATTGTCATGTGAACTTTATAAAGAGAAAATGCTGCTAAATAAGGTTAAAGATCTCTGTGGACAAATTGAAGGTTATGGTCCTGAGGCTTCTTTAGCTTAAGGCTACTTTTCTAGAAGGAGGACTTAGAATGGGTACAGGTCTTCCAGTACTCTGCTTTGGCCTATGGGTAGAGCAATGGTCTACCCTAGAGTATGGTCAAATTAGGATATTCATAATGTATTCAACCACTTGTAAACTATGCTTTTGTTACCCATATCATTCCTGCTAAGATGGACTTGAGCTTATGTTAGGATCATTTTGGGGGCCTCCCTTGGGAGGTTTTTGTCCACTGTAGGAAGGCAAAGCCCCACACTCAAATAAGATAGAATGGACCACATATTGTTCCAAACATAATATGAAGAATATTTAGGCAATATAATGTTTATGCATTCATGGTTTTAGCACTGAAATTAATGTTTTAATCCAGACTTTGACCACACTATCATCCTGCATTGATCTGTGCAAATATACTGAATAGTGACAAACTAAATTCCTGGTCTCCTAATGCATTCTACACAATTTCTGTGAAACTAGTTAGTTTCCTTTTCCCTGGTCCAAGTACCTCAGTATTCTTTTCTCATAGTGTGCACAGACCAAGATCAATGGTTAATAGTCAAGACAAATAAATGTGCTAGACCTTGATGAAATGCCATGCCTTTATGCCTATCCCTTGGGACAGCTGTTCTCTCTCTCACACTTTAGGAAAAGTATGTTGGTATATTTGTGTACATTTATGTCTATGAATTTATCTATACATAAAAGAGAATGAAATCAAAGGATCTCAAAGTACACATATTTTAATAGTAAAGGAATATAGAACTAGTTCACATTACAGATAATATAAAATTTGAGTATATTATTGTTCACGTAATTACCATAGATATTTTTGCTGATTGTTCCTTTTTTACCATTCCTAGCAAATGAATTAAGAACAATGGCAGTTAACAGAACGTTTTATAGCAGCATGGTTTCCAAGGGCCTCTGTGTAAGAAAAACGTAATTCAGACAAGATGTGGAATATCTTTATGAATAGCAAATATCTAAAAATCAACTTGAGAATATTATTCTGGTTCCTGCTCTTCTTTTGAAGTTTCGGCCGCGACGGAGGCTTTAGGTTTCCTCCCTCGCTTCTTTCGCTCTTTCTTCCCACCGGCCTCTTCCAAGCCGTCTGCCATTTCCTTCATATGATCAGCCTGCAAGATTTACATGACCATTAGATTTCTCAAGGTAATCTCTACAGTATAAAACATTTACACAATTAAATTTACAATCATTCAATGTGACAAATGCTTAAAAAATATTTGTACACATAATTTGAGGACATGACAAGCATATAAAAAATCTATTACAGAATAGTCCTTTCCTCAAGACTGTTTAAGTATAAAGCTGAAATCTTCTGCTTCCATGTATTTATTTATCATTTTCTGCTTTTTGCTATATATTCTAACCACTAACTTATTATCTCAAAGGAAATGAAATTCCTTCTCAAGTTATGGCACTCTGCCTGATATCATGTGCTTTTCTGAAAGAAATGACAACCCTTTTTTATAAATGCTATTTCACTAACCCTAAGAGTTACACATTCTGGATATTCCAGTTTAAAATGTTTCAAGATTCCAAATCAATCAATTAAAAATGAGTGAATTGAGCATTAAGAAAAAGTCCTTAGTTAAAACTCTAGACAAGTAGAATATTGAGGGAAAAAGTGTAACTCACCAGATGACTGTTTCGACGGACAAGAAGTTTTACATCGTCACAGTTGATTGTGGTTCTGCGCGCATGTCTGGAAAATTCATAGCAATCAGTGCCATCTGTGGCGAACTTTGAGTACCAAAAAAAAAAAAATATATATTTTTTTTTTTTACATGATAAAAATCTGTGGATTCCTCACTTTGCAAAGGCCTCGAGGTCAGCTGTGTAAGTCTGCAGCTGTCTGCAAGTGACCTCCGACAGCGTCGCAATGACCTGCTTCGTGAAGGACAGCCCGAGCTCGGCCCCAACCTCCTCGCACGTCCTCCCGACCGTGAAATGGACGGCCGCCTTCAGCGCCTGCAAGGTCAGGGTCGGGGCTGGGGGTTAGCGTCTGATCAAGGGACTGAGGCCCAGAAATGAAATAAACTCATAAGAAGAATTCTTATAAAGATGGAATCACTGTTGGGCTTGTAATTAGTTTTTCTTGAAAATATTGTCTACTTGGTCAAATAGGCACACTGTCACCGACAGACACAGAAAGGCAGGCAGAAGGAAAAGAGAGACAGACGACCCCACACGCCCTTGGCTGGCCTGGGGCTCAAGGGCTGGAGCCAAGTGGCGCCTGCCCTGGCTGTCCTGCCCAGAGGGGCTGCAGCTGCCTCGCCGTGGCAGCGGAGTGCCTGTGGCCTGCGGCGGCGCCAGGGCCGCATGCGGCGGCGCCTCACCTGCGCGCGGTTCAAGTCGGGCGCCGCGTCCGCCATGGCCATGAGGCGCACGCCAGGACAGCCGGCGAGGGGCCTCGGGGCTCGGGGCTCGGGGGCGAGGCAGGGGCGCGGAGGGGGTCACAGGGGCAGGGCCGGGCGGGAGGGGCCGGGGGGGCGAGGTGGCAGGGGGGCCGAGGGGGCTGGGGACCGAGGGGCCGACGGGCAGGGGGCCGGGGGGGGGGGCGTTTGTCCTCGCCGCCCGTCATCGCGGCAGATGTTCCCGAGTTGCGGGCGGAAGGTTGCAGCGCTCCCTGCCCATGCCAGCGGCGCCCATGACCTGCTTCAGGGCATAACCTTCAGTGCGAACGTGGTAAGTGTCGCGGGCAGCTGCCAGGCCCCGGGGCGCGAGGGCCGGGCACGAGGGGCACGGGGGCAGGCGGCGCCCGAGTGCCTTCGAGCAGCTCCTCGAGGCAGAGCTCAGCGCCGGATGAAAACACTCTCAGTGGGCATTGATTCAACCGGTTTTTCGAGTCGAGAAGTAAAGGTGAGGGAGAGCATGAGGAGGGCGCCCGAGAGGGCCTTCCACAGGGGCACCCTGGCTTGGCACGGTGCCAGAATTGCTCAGCTGCCTGCGCCTCCGCGGCTCTGCTTTCTCGGGATCCGGAGCAGAGGGCGACCTGCTTCAGGTGGAGGCCGAGAGGGAGGGCGGCCCAGGAGTCCTCGGCTCTGCACCCCAGAGGCCCGGCTCAGCCAGCCAGTGTCCCCGAAGGTATTTGCGACGAGCGACGCCCTCCAGGGGAGTCCCAAAGCCAGGCTCCTGCAAACCCAGCTATCCAAACACGACCTTTCCTGCCTTATAGCTGTTCTCTTGTGATGGGGGGGGCG